CTCTCTCTCTCTCTCTCTCTCTCTCTCTCTCTCTCTCTCTCTCTCTCTCTCTCTCTCTCTCTGTGTGTGTGTGTGTGTATGTGTACCGCTCTCTGATCAAACTGGAAAATAATAATAATAAATGATAATGATAATAATAAATTTAAATCCAAAATACTTCTTTTAAAAAAATGGACTACTGTTATTTCCATATTTCTGCTTCCTCATCTTCCCGTTCAGCCAGGCCCGAATACTCCCTTCCTCTCTTATTTGGTGAAAAGCTAGAAAATACCATATGGAAACTGCCTGGCTAGAAACTACCCAGATGGGCTGGCTCCGTGAAGCAGTGGCAATCTCTCTCAAGTGGTAATGTGTTGCTTAAGAGAAATGCCAGATCCCACATGGAGACCATAGTTCTAATCTCCACCTGTCAACCTAAAATGTATCAGACATGAGTATAAGTGCCCAGGAGCCAATGGACTGAAAGAAAAGGATTATAGAGTGATGAGACCCTGTAGAGGGTGTGTCCCCTCTCATGCATTCATGTGTATGCACCATCATTAATAATAAATAAATAAATAAATAAATAAATAAATAAATCCCAAAAAAACCCTACCCAACCACAAAGGGACTCATCCATATTTACCACTAACAGAGCAGGTACTCACAACTGGGAGGTATTTCCCAAGCAGGGGGGCCACAGGCAGGTCAGGCCCCTGGCTCTACGTGCCTCTGCTCCCAATCTATAAAATGGGCACTGGAGCATCTGCCTGTAGGCCCTCCGAACTCCCAACTGTCTGCACCAGTCTCAGCATCCTGCTTTGTTAGCATGGCTTCTCCTGTAACCCCACATCTCCTGTAACCCCAGTCCCCATACTACAGCTGCATGGCTCCAGCCTTGGCAAGAGTATGGGGAGAAGGCTCTTCTACGCTGCCATGGTAGAGGCACCTCAGCAACCAACTCAAAGAGTACAAAGAATCAGAAAGAACAAACTCAGTTTCTCCTTTCTTCTCACAACACAGAATCAACACAGAAGACTTCCATGACCAGAGGTGTGGAGTATGTCCCCACACACCAACCAGTTAACTAAGTCTGCTAGGTATCCTCCACTCCAATTCCACCTTATTCTATCTACCTAAAGATAATGTGAGATCCTTCAGTCCTACAAGACGGTCTTCCGCTTCAGACACAAATCACAAACCCCAGGTGGTTTGATCTATGCTTCCAATTCACTGGCTGTGAGTCAGGGTTCCCATGGTCTTCTCCTTGGGTTCAAATTGTTAGAGTCAGGGCCAGGAGGTGGCATGGTGGTTAAGGGTGTTGGACTCCCATATGGCCAACTGCAGTTCAAGTCCCAGCCCCAGCAGCTTACTTTCTCACTTTCTCTCTCTCTCCCTCTCTGTTCTTCTCTGGTCAACAAAATAAATAAAGGTAAAAAAAAAGAAAGAAAGAAAGAAAGAAAACTAACTTTATAGGAAAAAAATTGTTAGATTGGCTCACATAAGTCAGGGCAACACTCTTTTTTTTTTTTTTGGAGATGTTTTCGTTATAGGGCGCGTGCGCTCGTCAGACAGACAGAGACATAGAGACAGAAAGCGAGAAATCACCCCCCCAGGGGGGATGGTCACGCTGCAATCCCTTCTCCTCCGTTCTCCTCTCGGGATCTTGGGCACGCACGCACACATGCCCGGCGTGAGTTTTAAGCCACCGGGTCCGGGACGCAAACCGTGGTAGACTACGTGGGAGTCCAGCGACATCACCATTACGCTAACTGCTGGTTCCCAGGGCAACACTCTATTTACACCTGGCGTTTTGTTATAAAGGATGCAGATAAAGAGATATATGTGGCAAGGGCTATCCACAAGCTCATCTGAACTCTGTCCTCTTGGGCTTTTACAGAGGTCTCATTATGCAGATGGGATTGATTACATCATTGGCCACTGGGGGAGTGGCTCATTTAACCCTCAGATCCTTCCCCTCTCTAGGTTGGGGGTCAGTCTGAAAGTCCCAGCTTGCCAAACCTGCTTTGGTCTTTGCCATGAGTGACCAACCCCACCCTGAAGCCACCTGGTCAGCCACTGGTCAGCTCACTAGCATACAAAAAGACACTTATCACTCTGAGGAGTCCAAGGAGTCACTGTCCAGGTATGCACTTCATAATAACACATACGTGTAGCCAAAGCCCAGCAAGTTCATACCACCCCTTGGGCCTGAGGGGTCAGGAGCAGGACATCTCATTACTCACTGCAGCATTGTTTGTTCTTGGGAAAAAGAAAAGAGGATTTAACTGTACGGTAATATAAAATGGATAAATAGGGGCGAACAGGTGGCGTGGTGGTTAAGTGAGCTGGACTCCTTCATGGCTGAGTGTGGTTCAAGTCCTTGACCTGATGACTTGCTTTCTCACTTTCTCTTTCTCTGTGTTTCTCTCTGGTCAAATTAAAATAAAAATAATGATGATAAATAAAATTAAAGAAAATAAATTTTAAAAAATGGATAATCTCAGGTTTACCTAGAATCCTGAACTGCAGCTAAAGCCAGTGAACTAGAACCATATACATCAACCTGGATGTGTCTCAAAATTACCATTTTCTATAGAAAGAAAACTGGTTGTAAAATCATGCGTAAAAATGATGAAGATGTCAAATGCATAAACAATACTCTGGCTGTGACAAGGACACCCAAGAGATGGGGTCTGAGGGCTGGCAGTCTGCTCCTCTTGAACCTGGGGTCACACAGGTGTTCCTTCCTCACTGTGTGAAACAGCACACTTGTGTTTAAGTCGGTAACGAAGCGCAGATAGATCACAGACATCGTGCATACAGCGTCTCTAAAGTACGCACCCACAGAGTATAACACGAGGCTGAGAGCTATGACAGAACAGCCTTCTCTTCCCTGGGGGGTGGGAAGAGGAGGAAGAGAGGACAGGACATGACCTTTTAAAACATATATTCTCTCCATGCACAGAAACAGAAAACATACATATGAGAGTTATTTTAAAAATGCATTGATTCCCTTTTCCCCTTCTGAAGTGAGACCACACCCTCATGTCCAATTCCAACTTCAGACCATAAGCTACAAATCTGGTACCTGAGCAGATAAGGCTATTTTGTTTTTCCATTTGGAGCAGGTCTAAGATATGATAGTTATGCTGAATATAACTGGCAAATCTTTATTTTTTGTACTTGAGTAATTTTTTTTTAAATTTGCTATAGGACTTATTCATTTACCAGAAGGAGAGAGAAAGAGAGAGAAAAGCACCCCCCTTATTGGGAATGGCCACACCACACTTCAGTTCTTTCTCCTCCATTCTCCTCAGGATTTTTAGACACACACACACACACACACACACCTGGCATGCTTTTCAAGTCACCAGGTCTGAAACTTGAATGGCACAGCTGGCCATGTGGGATCTAGCTGCCTCTTCGACTATATCACTGGCTGATCCAATGACCCATTTCTTTCTTTCTTTCTTTTCTTTTTTCTTAAAGAATTACTTACTTTATTTTATTTATTATTATTATTATTATTATTTTAAATTTGGACCAGAGAGAGAGAGAAAAAAAAAAGTAAAAAGGCAAGTCACTAGATCCAGGGCTCAAACCATGGTCAACCATGTGGGAGTCCAGCACCTCAACCTCCACACCACTTTCTGGTCCCAATAACCCATTTCTAATAATGGGAAAAATAAATTCAGAGCCCAAGGATAAAAAATGTAAACAATTGGGGTCCAGCAGATGGTGTGGTAGTTAAGGTGCTAGACTCCCACATGACTGACTACAGTTTGGATACACAACCGGGCAGCTTGAAAAACATGCCAGGTGCATGTGCATGCATGCCCAAAGTCTCAAGAGGAGAAAGAAAGAGAAGAGACTGCAGTAGGGCCATCTTTCTCGGGAAGGAGGGAGGAGAGATATCCCACTTTCCCTCTCTGTGTCTCTCTGTATCTCTTCCTGGTTAGCACATATAACCTATGGCAAGAATTCTTAAAATAAAAAAACAAGCAACTACTACTAATAATATAATAAATACAATGGCAGGGCTTCTATATAAAAGGAAGTTTCTTAGGACTTGTTATAGAAGATTTTTTTGTGATTTATAGTACCTGACTGGCCTAATAAGTTTGGCCTATAACCTGTCAGCAAACAGGAAAATGAATTCTATATAACATCTAGATATCTCAAATATATATATCATGTTGCATAATTTACATGTATACATTAGTTTTATTGAAATATAATGTATAGAGCCAGCCAATGGCATGATGGATAGGTGGCTGGGTCCCACATAACTGAGTGGTTCTAGTTCTGAACCCAGTGGCTTGAAAAACATGCTGTGTGTGTGTGTGTGTGTGCATGTATGTCCAAATCCCAAGAGAAGAATGGAGGAGAAGGGATTGCAGCAGGGCCATCTCACTCTGGCCCCCTTCTTCTGAGAGATGCGTTGCCACTTTCTCTCTTTTCTATCTCTCTCTAGAGAATGCAAGCACTCCTTAGCAAAAAAAAAGGCAAAGAAAATGTAACTTATATACCCTAAAATTCACCCATTTACTGTACAACTCGATGGTTTTTAACGCAGTCACAGCATTGTACAGCCACCACTACATCACTATTAGGACATTCCACCACTCCCACAAGAAATCCTGCACCCATTAGCATCACCCTCCATTTCCCAACAAGGACTGTCTAGCCCTAGCCCCTGGCAGCACTAATCTGCTCTCTGTCTCTATTGACTTATCTATTCTAGATATTTCTTACAAAAGGGATCATACAGCATATGATTCATCCATGGCGTAGCATGTGTCAGAAGTTCATAGCTTTGAGGGCTGAATAAGATGCCATGACATGGGCACAGCACAGTTTACTTATCCATTCATTAATTCGTGGGCCAGGACTCCCTTTCCCCTTTATTGGCATAATGGTTCTGCATTTTCTATAATTATAAGATAAACTAAATGCCCCTCCATTTGCAGATTTAAATTCACCCTCTGCCTACCTAGAAAGGCCATGCCCAGCCTCACCTTCTCCTGAGCCGACCTGACCACGCTGGAGACTTCTTGAACCGCCAGCTCCAGGGGCTGCTGCAGTGGATCTTCCTCAAAGGAGAGGAGCAGCGGACCCTGAAACAACAGAAACTCAGCATGAGGTGTCGCATGCACAGAAGGGTGCCTGCTTTTTCAAAAGAAATTATATATTTGTTATGAAGCTCTAAAAATTGAGGGAAAATACCATAAGACATCTTGTAGTTAAATCTGTGCTTCTAGAGAGAGGCAATAGTTCAACAGCAGTAGGGTTACACATCTGGGAGACCCAGCTGACGAAGGGTTGTGCCCAGTGGGCAGGATTCAGATACAGGAGAAGGATGGGAAAGGACAGAAACACAGACACAAACCAAAGAGGGTGCAAGAAAGATACGAAAGGGTGCTTTGAATCCTCATGTTTGTAGCGAAGGAGGGAACCACAGCCTCCATGGGGCAGGGATGCTCATGGGCATCGGTGTGTCTGCAGAGGATCTGACCCAGCACATCAGGCTAAAAGGCACATACTCCCTCTTCTAGTGAACGTCCTCTATTCTGGTTTAAGAGAAGTATGCCTCCTGTTCCACATGGCTGCTGTTACCTAAGGTGCCCCCCATCTCTGCTCTGGCTACCTGAGCAGTAGGTAGATAGAAACTCCTTGAGTTGGCCTCTCTGCAATCTGAGAGGGCAGACAGGGTTCTTCAGCTGGAGTGAGCCAGCTATGCCCCCAGAGCAGGCACCTCTGTCTCTGCTTCATAGCCCTCCAGAGCTGCCTGGCTCTTGTACCCCCACCTCACAGTCCAACTCTGTTCAGCTCCCCAACATCTTTCCAGTAGACTCTTTGGTGGCTTAAATCAGCTCATTCCTGTTTTGATTTTTCCAACTAAAAACTCCAGGTAAGAGACAGGTAATTAAATTAATATGACCACAGGCCTCATTAACAAACAAATCAGGACTTGGATGGCCAATCAGATCTTGTCCTTTTAAAAAGCTCTCTTGAGAAGACGAACAACAATATGACCCTAGACTGAACTTCTTCAACTCTTTTCCCCAAGATACTGTGGGAGCACATCATATTTAAGTAATTTCTGATAGTATGGTTCAAAAACTAATAATAATACAGCCCCACGCCTTCTTTGCATGACTCAACTATTTGAGAGACTCCACAGTGGTTAGCTAGTTCCACTTCTGTGCCACGACTAAGCCTGAGGGGTTAAAAATGGTAAAAAGAGCAAGCAGTGAAGTTATCATGAAACTACTTCTTAAGAATTTTCAATGATTGGGAGGAAAACTAAAGGGTGCAGAACATTTTAATTTTTATACTTTTCACCTCACCCTGTTCTAATCATATCTACCTCATCTCCAAATAGTTGCCAGGGGAGAATGAAGTGTACTTCTCAAGAAGATGAAATCATGGTTTCAGGGATCTCTTCTGGCATTCGCTATGACTGCAGCTTGCTTTGGCGGGACCTGCTGGTCAGAACCATGCCCTGAGCTTGGTGATAACACTGCTCTGTGAGAACCCAAATGGCTGAAAGAACAGCAGCCAGCACCAAGCCTGGTACCAAGTAAGGAACCAACAGCAGGGATGTCCTAGCTGTTTCTATTCAGCCAGTAGTAAAACAATGTATCTCTGTAACCCATCAACCATATGACATTGCCTTAAACAAGCCAGGATGCAGACTTCTGCTGCTTTGCAGCCAGAGGTGTAGTAATCTACCCTCTTACCTGTGGTATATGCTGGATTAAAGCCTTTACAAAGTCTGCTGGAAAAGGTAATGCCAAGGGGTGGTTTCACAGGAAAATAAATTATTAAATTAAAATAAGGACAGAGAGCTTGCCTTTTTCCCTCCAACCTGCCCAATCCTTGAGTTTCAGGAGCAGAACGTGCCTGCAGCACATGACTGCAAATGCATCATCTCTACACTAGTACCACTCTGCACCTGCAACACAGCCCCCATCTCATGAGTCTGCATCCACGTGGGAAAATAAAACTGCAAGAATTGCCAGGAAAACTGGCAATCGGAAAAGGAAAACTATGAGGATAACTAACCCCAGCAGACATTAAACGACACTATAGAGCATCCATAATTAAATCGTATGGTTCTGGTGAATGAACAAGCAAATGGACCTGGAATCTAGAACAGAAAGGCCAGAACTGACCTAGATATATAAGCAGAAACTTAATGTGTGACAAGGATGGCTCCCTAAATTCTGGGTGAAGATGATTTCTTAAATATCAGAATGTGGGAAAAGTTAACACTAACAGATTAACCTAACTGTATTACAAATAAATAACTTGCCCACCCAGAATGGGATAGGGAAAGTATATATAACCTAAGAAACTTTGGAAGATAAGATCTTGACTGCCCATAAATGTTAAAATCAAGTATGTGTTTCTCATGAGGGTAGGGTTAGCAATTCGGAAGTTACGTTATGTGTATACTAGAACTGAACAAATATGTAAATGTATTATTGACAATAGGTACCAGATGTCTTACTTGTAGAGAAGAAAGTTAAAAATCAAGGCAAGGGGAAGACTACAATGAACTCTGTGCTGTTGAACTGGAATCTCGGGTCTCAGTATTCATTCACAGTTCTGAAGAACTACATAGTTAGAAAGACACGGTTGTGCATGTATGTTTATATGCACATGCTGTTTCCTAGCTCTGTCTGCTGGAAGCACCTAGAAACAATGAGATCCAAAGAGTAATAATCACACTCAATGCCTACATCTTAATTTCTGAACATTTCTCTAATGAAAAGAATCAGGGCTCTGAGAACACAAGAGGATATTGAAAAAAGGAGCTCCTACTGGCCCAAATGAGAAAATTTTAAGCAGCAAAATTAATAGCAATAGTATTAAATTATAACCCATGGAGAAAAAAAGAGAACTCCAGGCTGGTGTAAATAATTAGAATAATCAGTTAAATACATAGAGAAAGGAGAAGTAGCCTTCTTTCTTGCAGTAGAGTTTCAATGAATAAATGTAGAAGGATAGAAGGAAACAAAATCACCATTAAGCAAGCTCCACAGACAATGTTTCACATAAGATACACTGATTGATGCTGGAAACAGTGAGGAATAGTTTGAGGACCAACGGGATCTGTATGGTTCAAAGCATCTCTCAAGATATCTGTTAACCACAGGGAAAAGATATAAAAGGAGACATAAGATACAGGAGAAGAGTGGCCATATCGTGGCCCAGTGGTAAAACACGGTGCTCTGCCAGACTGACCCCCTCGTAGGAATCCTGGTCGTATCCAGAGACCTCCCTGAGCACACTGGTCCATAATCTGGGACTGGCTGAGGCTGGAATTGAATCACAGTATCAAGGGTGGAGGAGGGTGCTTATTTTTCACCCCTTTCTCTCTCTCTCTCTCTCTCTTTCCTCATGTAAGAAATAAATAAATAAACTTGAAAAAAAAATAAAGATACAAGAAACAAGGGACTAAGACATCTCAGTGATGAGTTACACTGACATCAAGAGTCCCCATGATACAGTACACTAAAAGGGACTCACTGTTTCTCAGTCTGATCATGTGAAAACATGAGACATATTGAGACATACTCTGCAAAATGATGATTAATATTTTTCAGAGTTATCAAAGTCATGAAAAGCAAGCAAAGATCACGAAACTATAACAGAGTGTAGAAGACGAAGGACACCACGTGGAACCCTGAATGGGACCCTAAAACAGTAAAAGGATGGAAAATGGGAAATTCAAAGAAGGTCATCAGTTTGGTTTATTAAAGGTGTTGTGACACTGTTAATGTCTTGTACTATCACATTGTTAATTCTATTGTGTCATGAATTACAGTAATATTGTACCAATGTTAATTTCTTTTCTTTTTTTTTTTTTTTGGAGAAGTTTTTGCTATAGGGCGCGTGTGCTCGCCAGACAGAGAGAGACAGAGAGACAGAAAGCGAGAAATCACCCCCCAGGGGGGATGGCCACACTGCAATCCCGTCTCATCTCTGCTCTGGCTACCTGAGCAGTAGGTAGATAGAAACTCCTTGAGTTGGCCTCTCTGCAATCTGAGAGGGCAGACAGGGTTCTTCAGCTGGAGTGAGCCAGCTATGCCCCCAGAGCAGGCACCTCTGTCTCTGCTTCATAGCCCTCCAGAGCTGCCTGGCTCTTGTACCCCCACCTCACAGTCCAACTCTGTTCAGCTCCCCAACATCTTTCCAGTAGACTCTTTGGTGGCTTAAATCAGCTCATTCCTGTTTTGATTTTTCCAACTAAAAACTCCAGGTAAGAGACAGGTAATTAAATTAATATGACCACAGGCCTCATTAACAAACAAATCAGGACTTGGATGGCCAATCAGATCTTGTCCTTTTAAAAAGCTCTCTTGAGAAGATGAACAACAATATGACCCTAGACTGAACTTCTTCAACTCTTTTCCCCAAGATACTGTGGGAGCACATCATATTTAAGTAATTTCTGATAGTATGGTTCAAAAACTAATAATAATACAGCCCCACGCCTTCTTTGCATGACTCAACTATTTGAGAGACTCCACAGTGGTTAGCTAGTTCCACTTCTGTGCCACGACTAAGCCTGAGGGGTTAAAAATGGTAAAAAGAGCAAGCAGTGAAGTTATCATGAAACTACTTCTTAAGAATTTTCAATGATTGGGAGGAAAACTAAAGGGTGCAGAACATTTTAATTTTTATACTTTTCACCTCACCCTGTTCTAATCATATCTACCTCATCTCCAAATAGTTGCCAGGGGAGAATGAAGTGTACTTCTCAAGAAGATGAAATCATGGTTTCAGGGATCTCTTCTGGCATTCGCTATGACTGCAGCTTGCTTTGGCGGGACCTGCTGGTCAGAACCATGCCCTGAGCTTGGTGATAACACTGCTCTGTGAGAACCCAAATGGCTGAAAGAACAGCAGCCAGCACCAAGCCTGGTACCAAGTAAGGAACCAACAGCAGGGATGTCCTAGCTGTTTCTATTCAGCCAGTAGTAAAACAATGTATCTCTGTAACCCATCAACCATATGACATTGCCTTAAACAAGCCAGGATGCAGACTTCTGCTGCTTTGCAGCCAGAGGTGTAGTAATCTACCCTCTTACCTGTGGTATATGCT